TGGCCTTAAACAAAATGCCATTCTGTCTAGGACGATGTTGTAAAAAGACAACATCTCTGCATCCACCTCAGCACCTTGCAGTAAGACAATCCATTATGCTTCTTTGGTTTTTATTTTGGATTTTTTTTTTTGGGATAGCTAGTTTAATACGTGAGACGTCTTCTTAACATGTGGCAAAGTGCCATGCTCGAGAGGAGGTAGATCGAGTGTGTTGTCTCTGTCTATTCCAGACGAAGAGGAGGTCAGGATCGAGTTAGTCGTCTTACAACTTACTAGATCGTCTGTCCATATTCCGTTCCCAACTCACTCATCACATCACCATCTAGTCACTCTATGAGTTTATGTTGACACAGCGTAAGGTTCGGATGGGACGGTCGTTTTCACTTGTTTCTTGTTTCAGCGTGGCATTTCCGATCAATAGTAGACTGCATCCCGTAAAAAATGCGTAGCCCTGGTACAAAAAGTGACGATCGATCGAGTCGGATAGGATTTTGACTAAATCGACCACACCTCCGACCGAAATTCTGGAACAAGAGGCAAGAGCCCGATCTTGTACGATATGACCTTCTTTGTTTACAAATCTTAAAAATTGAATATGCACTATTTACCTACAGTGTTTAGACTAGAGGTCTATCCATTTTAAATTCCAAATTTCGGTCTAGAATGCATGGAATTTCGAAACATTCAATCAAGTCACTTGAAATGTTCGGAAGGGGTCAACGGGAAACCAGAGCCGGAAATCTCATTTCTGCCGCAGCATTGCAAAGAGCACCCAGAGTCGATATAGATAGGTGTATTGATAACTTTTGTTTGGGTCTTACCGTGTCTGGATACCAACACGGTGACTGGGATGGATTCTTGGCCACTCCTGGATTGCATGCCGAATTGACCACAAAGGTCAAGTAGGTGCAATTCAATCACTTCTACCTTAAAATCTCCCATTCCAAGCCGTCAAACCTTGTTGGATATACCCATGGACGAAGAATAAGTGTTAGACTAAGGAAATTAGGCCAAGAATTCGACAATTCAAGAATTTTCAACAAACTTACCTCTTTTCTTACCCCATTTTGGCCTCATGATACTTGATGTAGGCCGAATCATTGCCTCGGTCCCGAAAAATCCAAGCCTTAGGTATCCAATGGAGACTTTGGTGTATTGTTGAATTGATAGCTGGCTCAATGGAGGCCACAGGGACATTCAGAGCGGCTGAGAAACCAAGACAACACCCAAGAAGGAAATCTCAAAAACCTTGCAAATAAAGTAAATCAATAATGCTCCGCCGTTGTAATAGATATCAATGAAGCAAACTGTATATTGGAGCTCGGCGCTCTCAGCGTTTGGGGGCCTCTGTGGACCCCAAAGGGCAACCTGGCAGACACAGTTCGAACAACAACACTTGTTGACTGTGGCATGACTGAGGTCAAACAAAAAATTGAATCACGGCTCATGGTGTAGCCTATATATCCATGAAGATATCTGAAGTTATGCTTGATCACTTTCACCCAATTCAGTGTCGTCATCCATCTGTCTTGGTAAATGGGATGGAGTCAGTCTGCGGATGGAATCCAACGCATCAATAACCAGCTGGAAATTCGACCTTGCCAACCTTTTCTTGGTTCACTTTTTTTTGATAATATGCTGGCCGAATGGGTAAAGAAGGAGTTTTTGAAATAAAAGTGAACCAAGAGAGGTGTTGTGGATGCTAACGAGCCTTCCAAAGGTTGACAATGAAAATTGAAAGTTTTGTTGTGATGGATGTGGTACAATTTCCACGAATGTTTACGGAGGAGCGCACAAATCTGAAAGGTACTTGCTTAGTTTTGAGGTATGACGTGGACTACCAGAAACGTGGAATTCTACGGCATGTTTCGAAATTGTGATCGGAGCTGAGTTTTGACAATTTGTGTTGACTTGCCTACTTTAGGGGGGATTTTTTTAAATGCAGACAGATCAAAAGTTCCCTGAAAGTTCCCTAAAAAGTTCCTTAAAAAGTCCCCGGGAAGTTCCCTGAAAGTCCCCGGGAAGTTCCCTGAAAGTCCCCGGGAAGTTCCCTGAAAGTCCCCTGGAAGTTCCCTTAAAACTCCCTTTTTTTGGGGGAAAAACGGGAAGATCACAACGCTCGCGCGAAAACACGTAAATTCGTTATTCAGAAAATCTTCAAATACACGTTTTTGCAGCACACGGTCCAGATGAATTTCGAGTCCTCTGTGTCAAACGCACTATTACTTTTATGCCTTTTTGGCAGTATTTTTTACGGTACCAGTACCATTGCTCGCTTTGCAACATACTGAAAGGTACTTGCTTAGTTTTGAGGTATGACGTGGACTACCAGAAACGTGGAATTCTACGGCATGTTTCGAAATTGTGATCGGAGCTGAGTTTTGACAATTTGTGTTGACTTGCCTACTTTAGGGGGGATTTTTTTAAATGCAGACAGATCAAAAGTTCCCTGAAAGTTCCCTAAAAAGTTCCTTAAAAAGTCCCCGGGAAGTTCCCTGAAAGTCCCCGGGAAGTTCCCTGAAAGTCCCCGGGAAGTTCCCTGAAAGTCCCCTGGAAGTTCCCTTAAAACTCCCTTTTTTTGGGGGAAAAACGGGAAGATCACAACGCTCGCGCGAAAACACGTAAATTCGTTATTCAGAAAATCTTCAAATACACGTTTTTGCAGCACACGGTCCAGATGAATTTCGAGTCCTCTGTGTCAAACGCACTATTACTTTTATGCCTTTTTGGCAGTATTTTTTACGGTACCAGTACCATTGCTCGCTTTGCAACATAATAATAATAATAACTGAGACATTAATCGTTAATATGCTACTCTGTGGGCATTCGATTGCCGGTGAAATATTCGGCTGTAAAGGTCAAGTACTGTGAAGCGGTGAGTCAACAACAAGTTTGAACC